TTTTTTTTCTTCCAAATCTTCACTTAAGAACAAAATCTATACAAGTTTCCATTTTCTTATTTTTTTCTATTTGCAATTGTTGGTGCCTATGCTTTTGAAGACTTACCCATAAATTATTTGCCTAGACCAACATTCTGAAAAGATTTCCTGATGTTTTTTTCTAGTAGTTCTGTAGTTCTGATCTTTGATCTATTTTGAGTTTACTTTTATGTATGGTGAGACAAAGGGTTTATTTTTATTATTCTGCATATGAATATTCAGTTTTCCAGCACCATTTATTAAAGACATTGTCCTTTCCTCAATTTGTGTTTGTGGCACCTTTGTCAAAAATCAGTTGGATGCAAGTCTGTTGATTGATTTCAAGGTTTGTTATTCTGTTCCATTTGTCTCTGTGTCTGTTTTTCTACCACTGCCATGCTGTTTGGGTCACTATAGCATTGTATTATATTTTGAAGTTAAGTAGTGTGATGCCTCTATCTTTTTTCTCTTTGCTCAGTATTACTTTGGCTATTTTGAGTCTTTGTGGTTTCTTACATATTTTAGGATTGTTTTTTCTTTTTTCATGAAGAATATCACTAGTATTTTGGTGACAGTTGTATTAAATCTGTAGATTTCTTAGGGATAGTATGGTCATTTTAATAATATTCATTCTTCTAACCCATGAGCATGAGATGTCTTGTCATTTTTGTGTGCCCTCTTCTATTTCTTTCATTAATGCTTTTTAGTGTTTGTTATAGAGATATTTCACCTCGTTGGTTAACTTTATTCCCGGCTATTTTATTTTTTTAATGAAGTTATTGCAAATGAAATTTTTAAAAAACATGTCTCTGCAGATCCTTAACTTAGTTCGAACTAAGCTTTAAAGAATAGTTTAAAAAATTTCAGGGAGACTATCACCATAAGTGAAAGGATTTGTAGTAGGGAAGAGAGATTGCAGTCACCTCTATATAATCAATAAAAGGTAAGAATTTATAGCCAAGAAGTAAAAGTGGGAAGATATGTTGCTCAATGAAAATGTGTAAGAGAAAACCTCAAGAGTAGAGTATGTTTTGGCTCAACTGGCTATTGTAATCTTTTCTGTGTTGCTATAAAGAATACTTAATGCTGTGTACTTTATTGAAAAAATAAATGTACTTGGCATACTGCTCTGTGGAGTGTACAGCATCATGCCACCAGCCTTTGTTTCTTGTGAGGGCCTCAGTAGGCCTCCACTTACGGTGTAAGGAAAAGGGGAGCAGGTATTACATGGAGAAAGAGAGGGAGAAAGAGAGAGAGAGAGAGGAGGGGGTAGCCTGGTTCTTTTTAACTGTCAGATTTTCCAGAAACTGAGTGAGAACTCAATCTTTTAAAATTGGCACCAAACTACTCACAAAGAATTCACCCTCATGACCCAAACATTTCCCACTAGACTCCATCTCCAACACTGAGGATCAAATCTCGACGTGGGATTTGGAGAAAACAAATATCCAAATAATATCACTGGCCCAACCAGATTCCTGCTGAAGGCAGGCCAGGATGATTAGACATCAACTAGGGAATGGTACAAGATGAGGAACCCAATTTGAATCCAAGGTAATCAGATATGGAGGTTGATGGGTTCTGGTTAAACTGATTTAGCAGGATTCTTGCTGAAACTGGACAAAAGGGAGAAGAACATGAGAGTCCAAAAGTCCTAATTGAGAATAAAGTTCAGAAGTTGAGTAGAGTTTTGTTAAGGGGATAATCATTGTCATTAGGTAGAACTTCTATAGTAGAGACAGGTGGCTGTCTACATGGCATAGCTTAGAATATGACATTTCATTGTTTAGGAAGGAAATATTTAATAAAATGAAACCAGAGAATGAAGGGAATATTTATTTTATTCTTGTAAACTTTTCATGTGTACATATTTGTTTGTTTGATTGGTTTCATTGTAAGAGGGTCGTTGTCAACCTTAATTTCAATTCCTGAAAGCAAGAACATATTTCATACAAGGTAAAACTGTTTACTGAAAAGAAATATTTTAAACAAAGAGATAATTTTTGATCACTTGTGATTATTATCCAGTTGTCATGAAAGTATACAACTATTAATTTTCAAATTTGCACATAAATTATTTCTTTAATCATGATGAAGATGATAAGCATACATTGTGTTTACAGGAAGCTGGTAAAGCAAGCTAAGTGATAGTAGAACTTGGGATTACATTTCGTTTATATCACAATCCAAGTATAAGTGCTAAAACAACAAATGTGCAAGTCTGATCCTTCAATCTTAGTAAATATGTTGAAAGACAATATTGTTACATACTTAATATATAGCACAGTTCCTTATGAATTCATGCTGCTTGATCTTTTGTCACTGGGTTTCCATATGGTTAAGCATCCTCATCATCTTTGCTTCTGGCACAGTTTTCTTAAAACCAGATTTCTTATCTGCTGGCTCTTCACACAGTATACTATGGGGTTCATCAATGGAGGCACCAGCAGAAAAACATCTGCCATGAGGATCTTAATGATTGGGGAAGAGTGTTTGGCAAACCGGTGGATGACTGCTAGACAGATAATGGGCACATAAAAGATGAGTACAGCACAGATGTGAGAAACACATGTATTGAGGACCTTGAGCTTTTCCTTTTGTGATGCTATGCTCAACACTGCTTTCAGTATCAGCATGTAGGACATGACAATAAATGTTAAATCTAGGATGCCTGTAAGAGCCACACATAAGCCATACATAACATTGACCTTGTTGTCAGAGCATGCCAGTTTCATGACATCTTGATGGAGGCAGTAGGAATGGGACAGAAGATTCTTCTTACAGTATCTAAGATGTTTTAGGGTGAAGGGAAAAGGGAGGACCAACAACACATTTTTTAGAGATAAAACAAGCCCAACTTGAATGACTCTGGCACTAGTAAGAATGGAGGTATATCTCAGAGGTTTGCAGATGGCAATAAAGCGGTCAAAGGACATTATGAGAAGTATAGATGACTCCATAGCTGAGAATACATGAATGAAAAACTCTTGGGCAATGCAGGCATCAGGGGAAATTCCTGGAATATTGAACAGGAAAATTTTTAGCATGGTAGGAAGAGAGGAAAGGGATAGTCCCAGGTCAGAGAGAGCCAACATGGAGAGAAAATAGTACATAGGCTCATGCAAAGAAGGCTCTGTTTTTATGAAAAATAAGATGGTGCAATTTCCCAGTATAGCAATGATGTACATGAGACATATGAGGATAGCAATCCAAATGTTGGCAGACTCAATACCTGGAATCCCAACCAAATAGAAAATTGAGATTTTAGTTTCAGAGGTGTTGAGGCTGGACATGCCAGTATGTGAGGTAAAAGATGAGAGACTCAGAAGACGCTTCCTGTAGTGGTGCCAGAAGATTGGCACTAATTGACATCACTCATGTTTCATGAAAGCAAGGGTATAGAAACAATTCTTATATACAAATCTAAATGGAGAAAAATAGAGAAGTAAATGTCAATACCCAACTAAAACAAAAACTGAGAGAAAAAGACATAAATTGATATCAAAAGGACTATTGTTCAACTGAGATAATTATACAGGTACCTATTACCCAATTTGAAAATCTGAGACTTTTGCTTTTTTATGTAAATATGGCGACCTATGTCCTATTAGTAATCTGTTTAAAATTTCAGTTCATAGTTTGAGGTTTTACATTTAGGTCTTTGATCCACTTAGTTGGTTTTTTTGTATGGTGATAGGTAGGGATCTTGTTTTAATCTTTTGCGTGTGGTCAGCTAGTTTTCCCAGCACCGTTTACTGAATAGGTTCTCCTCTCCCCAGTGGTTGGTGGTGGAGGCTTTTTCAGAGATTAAGTTGGTTGAGAAATTGAGGTTTTGCTTCTGGAATCTATCCTGTTTCATTGGTCTATATGCCTGTTCTTGTACCAATATCAGGCTGTTTTGATTATTATAGCTTTATAATCGAATTTAAAGTCTGGGAGTGTGATACCTCCTGCTTTGTTTTTTTCCCCTGAGGATTGTTTGGTGTTATGTTGTCATTTATGTTTCCATATGAATTATTGTATTGTCATTTTCAGGTCTGAGAAGAATGCTGCTGGAAAGTTAATGGGTATTGTGCTAAATCTGTGGATTGCCTTCGGTAGGATGGACATCTTAACAATGTTCATTCTTCCAATCCATGAGTATGGATTATTTTTCCATTTGTTTGTGTCATCTTTGATTTCTTTGAGCAGTGTTTAGGAGTCACCCTTATGAAAATTGGAACTGGCAACCAAACCCTGATCAAAACCCCAAGTGTCCATGCTATAAGAGATAAGTTAGACAAGTGGTACCTCATTAACTGACATGCTTCTGCAAAGTCAAAGAAACCATCAAGAGAGTGGGTATACAGCCCATAGACTGGGAAAAAAGATTTGCCATCTGTATGTCTGACAAAGGCCTAACGTATAGGATCTACAAGGAACTCAACCATGCTGAAAAGAAAAAAAAAACAAAAACCCATTACCAAGTGGGCAAAAGATATGAATAGACACTTCTCAAAAGAAGACATACAAGCAGCTAACAAGATACATGAAAAAATGTTGAGTCTCATTAGTCATCAAGGAAATGCCAATTAAAACTGCACTGAGATACTGCCTAACTCCAGTCAGGATGACTTTCATCAATAACAAAAAACAACAGATGCTGGAGAGATTGCAGCAAAAGGGAACATTTCTACACTGTTGGTGGGAGTGTAAACTAGTACAGTCTTGTGGAAAACAGTGTGGTGATTCCTAAAAGATCTAAAAATCAACCTTCCATATGATCCCACAATTCCCTTACTGGGAATGCCTGGAAGAATTCAAATCACTCTATAAAAAAGATACATGTGCTGCCCATCAAAAAAGGACTGATAAAAAAATATGGTACATATACTGATGGAATATTATGCAGCCATAAAGAACAAAATCATGATCTTACAGCAACCTGGATGAACTTAGAGTCTATAATACTGAGTGATCTTTCACAGAAACAAAGAACTGAGTAACACATGTTCTCACTCATTAGCTGACCTTGAACAAATATCATAATACTAAATGAAAAGGATTGGCAGTAGTGGCAAACTGCTGGAAGTGGGGTGGGGAAGCGGAATTGGCAGTAGTGGGAATCTGACTGGGTAAGGAGGGGACACATCATCAACTAGGTTACCTGCATAATGAACATTTGTATACCTAACCCTGACTTGTACTCCACATATTCAAAATAAAAAAATTAAAAGTTAAAAAAAATAAAATTTCAATTCATTTGCATAACACTTTAATAAAACCTAACACATATTTATACAATGCAACCAATAACTTTATTTTTTTCCTCAGAACTTCTTTTACATCCCTCAAAATATTTTATCTATTTTTCCATAAAATTTTTTGCATATTTTGTAAACTTTAATTTTAGAATACTTATGATATTGTTACTATTATTTATAGAATCATTTACTGTTTAATATTTTTCTTTTTTTCTTAGTGATTACTGGTCACAAGAAGAAATAATATATAATTTTTGTTGTAGAAGCTTATCATTTCATACTACTATTTTGTTTGTGTCCTCCTTTTTTTAATTATAGATTTCCAAGTGTCTGCATTCAACACTGTGTACATCTTTGTAAAGAAATTCTTAACAAAAAATCTTCAAATGATTTCTAGTGCACATCTATTTTTACTAGCATCTGATTTACTAGCATCTGTATCATAGGTATTCCATAGTTCACTAGTGCTCAGGTGGAGATTTTCAATTAATTTTTTTACTAAGAACATTTTATCATTTTCAATCAGAAAAGTCATGCATTTCTTATATTTTGGATATCACTGATCATTATGCCTTTCAACATCATCTATTCAGCAGTCTTTCTAGATAAAAAAATATTGAAACATCTCAATCCAGCTTCCTAGTTAGATTGCTTCACATTTTCAAACTGCATTCATGCATCTTTTAGTACTATTCTTTTATTTACTAATTCTGTCTTTATCATGTCTGTTATCAAATGTTCTAATAATTAAGTTTTATTTCAATTATTATATTTTTCTTTACTAATAAACATTATTTTAAATGACCATGCATTTCAATTTATATCTCCCAATTCCTATATAATCTGTTTTTCATTTATTGTTGCTGCCTTCCTTTAATTTTTGAGAATCTTAAGCATACTTACTTTAAAATTTATTTTAGTTTTATTCACTTTTTCTTTAATCATGAGAGAAGAAATTTCATATCTCAGATATAAAATATTAGACAGTTTCTTAGTACTACCATTTTTATCTTTTAGTTATATGTTCAACCAGTGTTACTATGATCCTGTAAGTCATGACTGAGAATTCTTAAAAACTCAAATTTTCTTTCTTTTTAACTATTTTTTTTTTTGCAATTTTTTCTCCTCTAATCTCAAATTCAAATCACTGCAATTCACCCTCGATTGTTTCTAAGGTGTTCTGCTGCTTCCTGCACTTTTTATAACTTTTGAATGTTTTTCTTGGCTGAACTTCAACTTTAACTTCCTGTACTTATTTTTCTCTGTTCAAACTACTTCCAACTCTGGATCATCTGTAAACATTTTGATGACATTTATAACATTTAAAACATGAGATGTCAAATACAACTAGAAAGAAATTTCTAGGACATTTAGAAAGATATTCCTAAGAAGTTCTGGATTAAAGAAGAAATTATATGTAAAATATAAACAACAACAAGAAAAAAACAAGAAAAATAGGCAAGTGTTTGGATAATGTTACTTAGAGTTTAGATCTTTACACAAATGTGCAGCAAGGCAATGAATGAATTGTTGTTATTGTGATTAATAATACTGTGATCTGTCTGTCTTCACCACTGATTCTTTTGTGTGTAGTGACCCAACTATCAACAGAGGCGATTGTCTGTATTTGTAAGACCTAGTGTGGTCCAGTTCCCATAATTGCTTCTGATAGTAATATGAAAGGAGTGAGATAAGTGTTCAGTGGAACTAAAGATTTATTCCAACAGGGAATGTATAAGAGTTGTTTTTTGCTTTTGAGTCCATTTGATTGAAGGGAGTTATTGAAAGTTCTTTCCTTCAGGATAGAGGCTCAAAGTGTGTTTAATGTTAAAATTGTTGAGGTAAGTGAATTGTTTGAGAAGAATGTGATGGTTTCACTGTTTGGGATCCCTCTTCTGCTTGGGATCCCTCATCTTTCCATTGAATCTACCCAGTCCGGGAGAGTATTGGTATTGTTCTTGACAAATAGTAACTGCTTTAACAGGTCTGGAACTTTAATCTATACTTTTAAGATCTGAGTTTTAAATCCCTCTGCACAAAATCTAATTAATAACTTTTGAACTCATACAAGCTCTCTTAGTTGATTAAAAGTGCTTCTTTACTAAGCTTCCAAAATGTTGTATTAAAATTTTCAACTGGTACATTATTTACTCCCTATCATAAACCTCTACTTTTCCTGTCCTACAAAAACATATATGTTATTTTTTTTCTTTAGAAAATGCTACTCCTTTCCAGGAAAAAAAAAAATACTTTAAGGAATGTCACTATTAGAAAGTCTAAAGGAAAACAGAACACTGCACAGAATTTCTAGTCTTCTTTCCTCAGATCAGAAGGCCCTACTCAACTAAATTGTCTAGCTTGTAAAACTGCAGAAAAAAAAGTGTAAGTAACAGAATTAAATGAAGTTGAGTATTTACGTGGAAAATGTTAAATAAGACATTTATACTTTTTTATATTATAGTAGAGTGATGTTTATGTTGTCAGGATGATGTTATGAAGACTGGTTCAGGTCTTAAGTATATCGTAAGATGAAGTATTAAGCAGTAAAATCATTACAGCTAATAAAGGATAATATACTCATCTTAATGCTCTTGATTGATGAGATCTACAACTGGATCAGGGTTTTCAGGTACTTAGTAAGGTCATACTTACTTGGTCTACATTTTAAGGTTAAAAAATCGATGAACCCAGGATGAAGCTACTCCAATTCCAGCAGTTAGGTACAAGTATTAATCATGAGTGCCTGATTCTAATTCTTATACTCTGATTCCTTTTTAGTAGAACAAAGACTCTGGGGATGACAACTCAGGAAGTTATACCCAGAGAGATTAAAAATCCCACAGGTTCTAAAAATATATCATAACACTACAAGAAAGGGATTGACAATAGTAGGACACTACCCCAGGGGACAGGGAGAGTGGGCATAACATCATCAAGGATACTTCATCTTAAATCAGGTAAAGTGAGGGCCATTTGGAGTCCGATGCATCACTAGTACATAGACCAATTAGTATCTAATCCTGATTTATACCCCACATCTTTAAAATAAAATA